TTTCTGTGACCCATTCATATACCAGCACTGTATAAATAAAAGTTTTTTCAGTGGACAGGTATGGAGAGAGAAAGCAGTTTCCATTTATTAGATTACCAAACGACAAATGTTGAGTTTATCTCAAGTAATTTTTTAATAATTTATATTTTGAATTGGATATATAAATTTTAAAGTTATCAATTCCATTAATTTTTCAAGTATGTTGAATAATAAATAGTGTTTTGGTGTAATTAGTATAAATTGCAAATATTATTCTGCACTAAAAGAAAATATTTTACTATAGTATATGAATTTATATAAAATACTCTGATTTATATAAGAATTTATTTTACCGGAAAATGTGTTGTATAAATAAGTAGTGTGTAACTTACTAGTAGTGTACAGTATTGGCAAATAATGCTGTGTTTAGCAAATAATCAAAAGCCAAACCGGTATCAAATTTGACAAATATTTTAAAACTTAAATAAAGAGAAAAATGAAAGTCTGGTCGCAAACAATACAGTAATTGATGAGACAATGATTGCAGTCTAAACTCGCGAGACAGTGAATTATTGTTTGGAGTGAAGGCCTGGAGAGCAATGATTAGCCGAGTGGTAGACTTCTTTGGACTTCTTTAGCAAACGTTTCACCATTTGTTTTGGTGGGCATTTGAAGCAAATTTTTAGCTAACTCTGACAAATCATGACAGATGGTTGTGAACCCATGCAGTGATTGGAGAGAACCCCTAATTAATTAGCTGTCAGTTTGATTGAACCCGAATATGAATTAAAAGCAAATGTGATCATTGCCTAAGAATTATTACCTACCAGTCCATCATTGGCCGAATGGTAATCACCTATTAATAAACAGATGCAATCGATTTGCGACCTCTTCTGAAGAACTCATACCACTATTCGTTGGAAATAAAACTCATATTAAAGTCAAATTTGAGTCAAATTTATCAATTCAGAGATTATATAATTGATGGGCTAATTATCTCCCCATTTAATTGACTGTTTGCTTATAACCGCAAACTTTTTATTCCAATCATTTCATTATAACTCAAATTATTAGACTTTTATTGACTTTCTTTGCAAAGACTTCTTTATATTGATGGCTATTGTTATGACTTTTAAGTTATATATAAATTGCAAAATCATTGCATTTGAGTCTAACTTATTGTAAGCCAAGAAAAGCAAAGACTCAACAAAACCTCAGCAATAGATAGAAGAGAAGAGGAGGTAATCAATCAAAAAATGTTGACTTAAAACAAGCAAAAAATCAAAGGACTAGCGCTAAGAAATGGTTGCATCAATTGGTGAATACAATCACTATTTATACTTTAATAACATTTAATTTGAAAAATTTCTTTATAGACTATGTGTTGAACAATAAAGCGATGTATTATTCAAATGCTTTAATCAATGAGTTTAATGAATAAGTTTTGCGGTCAAAGGAAAGCCTCATCTTTTGTTGGTCTCCACAGACAGACCTTACGCCGTAAACTCATAAATAATGCTATTTTCTGAGTGTTTTTCATGTGAGCATTGCTTACAAATCTCATCATAAGTTGTCTTAAAATAAAAACGCAATAAATTAAGTGAAGTTTATTTTGTTTAGAAATTATCTAAAAAAGTTTTATCAAATTATAAAACATTTGAAATAATATTTTCCAAACGCTTTCATATCTTATAATTAAATAAACTTTTGATAAAAGGCTAAACTCTGTTAATTAAGAACAAAGCAAACACTGAAAACACATTTGATTTTTATGATTTGGCTCCAGATCTTCGTGTATAACTGGCTAACTATTTAGCACTGTTTAGGCGATGACCTCTTATTATATACCTATGAATGGCATTCGTGTTTAAATCGTGTATTTTTCTTGTCTCTCGACTGCAAACTGTTTGTGTTTGTCGTCGGACTAAACACTATGTGATTGAAAATTGACTGCAAATGAAAGACAAAAACATTTATCTAATGACACGAAAATCATTTTTATTAATTTGTTTTAATGTGCAATAGTTTTTCAACTATTAAAACGCTTTTTTGTTTTGAGATAATATTGTTATTAAGTTTTAATTTTACTTAAAATCTTAATTATTTAATAAATATTTTTCAATTACAGTGAAGGAAATTATGAAACAATCATTCAATCATTTTATGTTGAATATAAATTATTTGATTGCTATTAACCATTAATTAGATCACAAGTATTTTTTAATTAGAGTCTGATTTACTTGAAACCGAGAGAGAGAGAGAGAGAGAGAGAGAGAGAGGGAGAGAGAGTTCAAATAATTAAGTTCTTTGAATTGAAATAATTAATTAATTCTTGGATTCAAAACTTGAGCTCAAACTGAGTTTGTGTTCCAAATAACTAAATAGTTTGCAATGATTTTTGAATTACTTTAGTTAAGCAAACGCTAATAAATGAAACCCTTTGGAAATGTATTCACATTCTCTATGACCTGAAATATGAGCAAAATTGAAAACTGAAAATTGAAATTGTTTAGTCAAAACAAATCTTGAAATTCACTTTTCACTTGTAGACATAAAACAGACAGTGATACTTACAATCACAATCAACAATAGAACATACAGTTAACTAATTATTTATATGATATGAATATATGATAAAATATGAATAATTAAGTTTTCCAGAAAAACAATTTTCAAAGATATGTGTTTCTACACAAATGTTCGGCTCATTAGTCTTTATTATAATCAGTACTGACTGCTGAGTATATCTTAAATACAAGTAAATAGTTTTTAGCAAAAAGATATAATTATCAAATCATGAAATCTTTTTTGACTTAAACATTCAAAATTGAATAAATTAAAGATAATTGACTTTAAGCTTGTAATGAATATTTTATATTTAACAATTGTTGAGTCAGTTATGCATACGATATGATGACTAAATTCATAGAATGACTATATTGTACTGTAAGGCTCTATATTGAAAGTACTGTACTATATGTACAGCTTTGAACAGAATATTCAATATACTGAACAAGTATTGAAAACTATATTATTACGTGAATTGAGTGGAATTAGCTTACATTATGTAATCATTTAAATGTTTTGTTATCGGTTTTGTCAAGACGTTAAGCAATTAGTTTATTGACAATTAATTAATTGAAATCAGAATATTTACGTTTAAGATATGCATAAAATTTATGTGCAAATAATCTGAAACACCAATACTGTAGTAATGAATAACAGTGTAAGAGTACCGACAATGCACTGGAAGGCACGTAACCGATAGAAAAAAACTCAATTTAAAGTTATCTGATGTGAAATGCAATGATAAATAATGTAGAGTTGATGGACCACCCATTATATTGATTCGGTAGCTATTTAAGTGGATTTCATATAATTATTTCTTTTTCTCAGTAAATACCGACTCAATTGCTGTCTAACTATCGCTTTGCACGATATGTGAGATCATATTCAGCCAAACGCTGGCAATGACACCAAATAATTGTGCGCTAATACACAGTAATATCAATACACCAGCGCTTCTCCACCACTATATGTCTGTCCTCTTATAACACTATTAAACATCACTGTCTTTCAAACTATTTGTGTTTTGATTGCAGATTATCTTAAACGTGCAAAATAAATAAATATACATTTTAACTATTTTCTCCAAACCATTAGAAAAGTTTTTGAAATTCCAAAAAACTTTTTTCTAGTAATTTGTTTTTCAATTATTTATTGTGAATTCTCTTTTATAAAACAATTTCTCATTTATTGTGAGAATAATTAGAGAAGAGAGTGAAACTAAGCCGTAATGAGTAGAAAATGAGTTCAAAGTAAGCTTTGAAAGTGATTTACAATCCGACGACTCATAACAGGTGCGCAACAAATCCCTCCAAATGCAGTAATAATGGTTTGGTTACCATTCATAACTGTTATGATTATTGTATACTCATACTAACAATTTGCACACAAATTAATTAACATATGAATAGCACTGTCTTATACAAATGTACGGGTATTTTGTTAAGAAATGCGGTTTTAAGTTATAACACTTTTCTTAGCATTGAATTGAGCCTTAATTGTGAAGCGAACCTATACTTGAATACATTGAGAGTTAGTGTGAAAATAGTTTTACTTTTAATGCCATTTACTTCACACTTCACTTAATAATTGGCTTCAACTCTACTGGAAAGCGATCTAATGAATGATAATTATGTCTTCAGAGTGAAAGAAAAAGTGAAAAGTTTTGTCAAATTATGTTTCACTCTTTAAAATGTGTTTGATTTTCAAGAGAGATGTTCACATTTGTGCCCATATTCTGTAGCTTTTAATTACTATACAGTTGTATGAATATATTCTCGCACTTATCGTTCACTTCAATCAAACATATCTGAAACTCTAATTTGTTTTTTAGGTTTCTTTAAATTATAATGAATTTTTATATGAAATCCTATTTGAATTCAAAATAATACCACCATTATTAATATAATTGTCATTATAAGTAGAATCAGATAAGCCTTTATAGAGTTATTTTAAAATTTATTGCAATACATATTACGTTCAGACGATATACTATTTATACCATTGATTAATTGGTATGAATTTTTAGGTCAATTAAATTTTAAATTAAACTTTTTATTCCTTTAAAAGTAAAGTATTAAATGAAGTGCTTTTCGTCTCAGAGTAAAAACATATTAATCAAAATCATTGCTATCAAATCTAATGTTATTATTAATAAAATATTAATATACCGTAGCGATTGGTTGAAAAAGTGGAAAATAAAAAAGTTTAATTATTAAAGAACTAAAAAATAATTGTGTCATTAATTTAATATTATTTAATTCGCTTTCAATTTGTAAAATAGTTTTTTCTCATGTGTTTAAAATGTGTGCAAAAATAAATTAACAAAAATTACAGAGCAATCAAAATGCAAATTAGCTTTTTGTCTTTTGCACACATTTCTCGTTTTCACAATTTTTTGACAGAGAGAGAGAGAGAGAGAGAGAGAAAGAGAGAGAGAGAGAGAGAGAGAGAGAGAGAGAGAGTTAAGCGCTCAAAGGCTGTCGTTTTGGTTTTCTTATGATATTATAGTATTAATAGTTTTTATTTCTCTTTATTTAATCATAAGAAGAGATTGCGTTAAAGTTTCTCTGATTTATTGCTATAAAAAGCATTAAAAATTAAAAAGCGCTTCAAATTATTGGTCACCAGTTGTTGTCATTTGGCTTTAAATTGAATTCAATTAAAGAGGAGCTAATCATTTGAGACGACAGCACAACAAATGACAAACTGATAGATTTGCAGCAAATATAATAAAACTACACTTTTTTTGTCTCATTTAAACTGAAACCCAAAAACTATTTGTAAAACAGGTTTTGCAAACTTTCAGAGAGAAAGAGAATATAAATGGAAATTTTGTTTTTTTGTTTTAATGAATTGCCTGGACAATAATTGCATTTGAGATGTGAATAATTGAATTAAAGAGACAATTATATTATAATAAAAACATTCATTTAATTATTATTTCTCATTACTCACTAATTATTATATTTATATACATTTTTGTTTTAATCATATATATCTTAAAGTAATTATAATTATGTATTGCGTTATTGTTTGTTTATATTTATAGGTTATATATAAATAAATTTGTCGTTTATATAAATAATTGTTAGCAATATTTAATACATAAATATATTTAAATAATAGTTGAATGCAAATTATGTATTGTATTGTATAGGATATGGCTAATGAATATGTATTATCAGAATAATTGCACTTTACTTACAAATTCTGTAGTAATCAGTAGTTTCGTGAACATTGAGTTGAATGAAAGGCAGTTAAGGTGTAATGGAGTTATGAGTTATGGACGCAAATTCATATTATTTGATGAATTCATGTGAAGTGAAGGACTACTAAATAGAGACGTCGGTATCGGACGCATTGGGTTCACAGAATTCACTTCATTTGGATGCGAGTGACTGTTAAACGCTGTGATCGCCGCCAATGAGGCCACCGATGATGAGGAATGCATGGGTCCGAGGGATGACAGGGAAGTGGAGACCGGCATAAAGGGGTTGTGTCCAACACTTTGCGAGTTATGGTGTAGACCTACGGGAAAGCCTGCCATTCCCATGGCCTGAGGTAATAGCGGTCGCGAAGCCATTCGCATCTTCTCGAGTTCGGCCTCTTTTAGTCTCTTCTCTTTGGCTCTTCTGTTCTGTTGTTTCAGATTTCACTCATTTTATTAACTCATATATCCTTCAAATGCAATTCAATTCAATATTCAATACACACCTGAAACCAGATCTTGACCTGAGTTTCCGTTAAGTTAAGCGAACTGTTCAAAAGTAAACCTTAATTAGTATTCAATCATTTAAATTATATAAACACCAATAATAAATAAGTAATACTATAATCTTAAAATGAAATTTTATAATAAGCTAACCATTGTATACAAAATGATACTGTATAAGTTAAAGTATATCTTTATAGGCATATTAATTCACTGTATAATACTGTAAACTATAACTTAAATAGAAGATAGCACATAAAATTAAACATGCAATCCTATTATTCTAAACATAATAGTAAGATAGGCTAAATTAATTTTTAAACAAAATCTTTTAACGGGTTCTAAAATAATGCCAAATATCATACTTTAAAGAAGATTTTGAAAAAAAATCAAAAAAGATGAGAATTATATACTAGAAGTAAGATTATATGATATAACTAAAACTATTAATATCAAATATATTGTTTATTAGTATTAAGATTATAAGTACTGATAATCAATACCTCGAAAACTCTGCTCTTTCGGCGATCGAGAGGTACTGTTTTGACCTAAACTTCCTCTCGAGTGCCAGCAGTTGTTGTGTAGTGAATGGTGTCCGAGGCTTACGGTTAGACTTATGTCTTCTTAGTTGACACTTGACTGGAGGCAACTTTGGGGGTTCGAGTAGTTCTACAGTCATTGCATTTCAATGTATTTATAACTCAATTGGATTAAAGAGATTATGAAATCACTTACTCTGGAGACCATCTCTGATGAGTGCATTAGGAGTTGAATTAAACCATTGGTAATGAGATCCCGACAAATGAGTTAACGCTGTTTCGTATGGACTCATTGGACTCATTGACATCCGATGTGTTGAAAGACTGTATTTATTGTTTGGTGAGAGGGATGGGGGAGACGGCGGGTATGATATCGATGAAGATTTGACACCAGAATCTGTAGCAATACATTCAGACAAATCATGTTCCCCTTCAGATGTAGTGCCGCTTTCATTGTGTTTATTAGAGTCACTATTGGCTCCCAAAAGACGGCTTATACTGAATGACAGTTTTGATGGTTTACTACAATTCATTGATCCGTTCGGATGCATGAGAGGCGATGAAAGGGGTTCTCGTTTTGGTGACCGAGACATGTCTTCGTCGTCATCATTGATGTCAATACTGACGTCCGAATTGATAGGACTCGAAGACTCCGAGCGTGACATTGAGTCCGAGTAATTGTTTTTTACCATTTAATCAAATATACAATCAATATTTCTGTTATTCAATAAACTTTTTAACTTTTCAAATATATTTCACTGTTAATTAAAAAGTTAACAAATATTTGTAGAATCGATGATATATCAGAACATGAGATCACTTTCTGGCGAATATTCAGTGAAAATCAATGTTTTGCGAAACAAGTCTTAAACAAACAGTTTGTGTAAAGTATTTGTAAAGTTAGCGCTTAATACCCGATCGCATCTCAATTGAGTATATCTTAGTCTTGAGACTCACAACACAAACACATTGTAAAGTTTGTCCAAAAAATGGTAATTTAACTGCTTTTTGGACAGCCTTTTGGGTGCGGTTACAGTGGATCTAAGAGTGCTTTGAGTGAATCCATTGAATGCAAGCCATTCTCCCAAAGCAAACGTGTTTACCATAATTGGAGGCCAACTCTAGGCTCCAATTGGTTGCAGTCGTATGACTCGTATTATCGATAGAGTCTCAACACCTCCTCCATGGCTGGACTGATGCACACAATTGATTGCAATAATCAAAGCATGAATTAAATGTATTTTCATTTAGATTCGCTCATTTCAAAGTGTATTTCACTTTATTATAAGGGGTTATGAGTTAGCAAAATAATTATTGTACATAAAGCTTATGAAACAAAATATGTATTGCACCTTTTATAGTATGAAAATTTAAATGTAATTTTTAAATAATTTTTTTGTGTCCATTTAAGCAAGTTTCATCAGAAACATTTACTCCCATAATATAAAGCACATAAATTTAGATATTATTAAAAATACAGATTTTTATTTAAATTACAAATCCATTGATAAATCAATAAATTTTAGAGATGTTATCATATATTGGACAGACATCTAGACATTAGAAGAAANCCCTTATAATAAAGTGAAATACACTTTGAAATGAGCGAAACTAAATCAAAATACATTTAATTCATGCTTTGATTATTGCAATCAATTGTGTGCATCAGTCCAGCCATGGAGGAGGTGTTGAGACTCTATCGATAATACGAGTCATACGACACGTTGGTTAACCTCGGATCTCAACCGGAGGTTAATACCATTTGTGCAAACGAAACCCTCTTACCGAACGTAAGTTACCTAAGTGAGTTTCGTGAGAATCTAGGTGACATTGGCGTGGGAAAAGGCTGTCCAAAAAGCAGTTAAATTACCATTTTTTGGACAAACTTTACAATGTGTTTGTGTTGTGAGTCTCAAGACTAAGATATAGAGTTAACTCTACGCTAGCCCATAATTCGCGATTGAAATGTTTATGAAATGTGTTTGACAAACAAATTCTGAACAAAGCGTTTTGTAACTAAAAGTGACTTATAAGCGGTCTTTCACTAGAGTACAACTGATATATCATCGATTCTACAAATATTTGTTAACTTTTTAATTAACAGTGAAATATATTTGAAAAGTTAAAAAGTTTATTGAACAACAGAAATATTGATTGTATATTTGATTAAATGGTAAAAAACGATTACTCGGACTCAATGTCACGCTCGGAGTCTTCGAGTCCTATCAATTCGGACGTCAGTATTGACATCAATGATGACGACGAAGACATGTCTCGGTCACCAAAACGAGAACCACTTTCATCGCCTCTCATGCATCCGAACGGATCAATGAATTGTAGTAAACCATCAAAACTGTCATTCAGTATAAGCCGTCTTTTGGGAGCCAATAGTGACTCTAATAAACACAATGAAAGCGGCACTACATCTGAAGGGGAACATGATTTGTCTGAATGTATTGCTACAGATTCTGGTGTCAAATCTTCATCGATATCATACCCGCCGTCTCCCCCATCCCTCTCACCAAACAATAAATACAGTCTTTCAACACATCGGATGTCAATGAGTCCAATGAGTCCATACGAAACAGCGTTAACTCATTTGTCGGGATCTCATTACCAATGGTTTAATTCAACTCCTAATGCACTCATCAGAGATGGTCTCCAGAGTAAGTGATTTGATAATCTCTTTAATCCAATTGAGTTATAAATACATTGAAATGCAATGACTGTAGAACTACTCGAACCCCCAAAGTTGCCTCCAGTCAAGTGTCAACTAAGAAGACATAAGTCTAACCGTAAGCCTCGGACACCATTCACTACACAACAACTGCTGGCACTCGAGAGGAAGTTTAGGTCAAAACAGTACCTCTCGATCGCCGAAAGAGCAGAGTTTTCGAGGTATTCATTATCAGTACTTATAATCTTAATACTAATAAACAATATATTTGTTATTAATAGTTTTAGTTATATAATATAATCTTACTTCTAGTATATAATTCTCATCTTTTTTGAGTGATTTTTTCAAAATCTTCTTTAAAGTATGATATTTGGCATTATTTTAGAACCCGTTAAAAGATTTTGTTTAAAAATTCATTAGCCCATCTTACTATTATGTTTAGAATAATAGGATTGCATGTTTAATTTTATGTGCTATCTTCTATTTAAGTTATATTTTACAGTATTATACAGTGAATTAATATGCCTATAAAGATATACTTTAACTTATACAGTATCATCTTGTATACAATGGTTAGTTTATTATAAAATTTCATTTTAAGATTATAGTATTACTTATTTATTATTAGTGTTTATATAATTTAAATGATTGAATACTAATTAAGGTTTACTTTTGAACAGTTCGCTTAACTTAACGGAAACTCAGGTGAAGATCTGGTTTCAGGTGTGTATTGAATATTGAATTGAATAGCATTTGAAGGATATATGAGTTAATAAAATGAGTGAAATCTGAAACAACAGAACAGAAGAGCCAAAGAGAAGAGACTAAAAGAGGCCGAACTCGAGAAGATGCGAATGGCTTCGCGACCGCTATTAC